CCTATCTGTTATTTTTTCATTAAAATTTACACATTTGTTTATATGTACCGTCTTAATTTACCGTTACCGAAAAGTTTAGAAATAGAATTATAAAGGTGAATTTGTTTTCTCTTAAAATTGCATGCCTACTGGCCGACAATTTATAGCCACACAAGGCCTTTGTTAAATTTGACATTCTAGAATATTTTTTAATGATCATAATGGAAAAATGTATGTGTCTGCGCAAACATATGAGCATGAGGACAGGTCAGTAAGCCCATCGTGACAAACTCGTGGAATTTATAACGATGGTTTCCAGGGGGTACCGCGTGGAGGGAAATTTCTTGGTGCATTATTAGCAATAGGGTTATTAGTCCACATTAGTAATAACCTCTTCCCCCTGATAGTATAGATATTATTTGATATGGTTATTAATATTTTTTATATGGACATCTTTTATCTCAACGTCGCTGGTAATATCTAATTTGTTATAAATAAGTGGGTAAGCCTATAAGGTAGACATAGCATCTCAGGAATAGTAGTGTATGTGGGAAGCCACGTCATTGTGTTATTCTTATAATATTAATACAGTACTTGTAGGCGACGCTTGTTCACCCATCAATATTCATTATCACCTTAAACTTTAATACTTGATGGGTAAAGTCTATTACTTACTACACCATTACAAAGAAGACAAACGTCTTTAGGATAGTGTAGCTGACGTACTGGTCATATAGTTTTATATTTCATATATTGTATTTTGTATTAAGAATTTTATTCTTGTAACGAGTTGTTGTGTTGTTATATTTTTGTAAAGAGAACATTTAGTATCGAATAAATATTATTACAGACAACAACAGATAGTATTTTCAATAGATTCAAGTAAATTCTAATTCAAATTATACATAAATTACTACAACTTGTAAATACCGCTACGTCTCACTACCACCACTTTTCATTATCACTGAGCAAATAATCACTACTCTTTACTCATTACTGTAATCCCAGATGTCATTTATATGTAAATTTAACTTAACCATCTATGTACTAACTACTTAACAATATATGTCACGTTATTTTGGTAAATTTCTAATACGAAAACCAATGTCTATTTAGTACATCATGTGTTGTTTTTTTAGGTAAGATATAAAAGATAGCGTATGTTAGTACTCGTAATAAATACTATCTAGCTCTAATTGTTAGTTATGTGGACTGATAATCTTATTGCTATCAATGTGACATGTCAGGTTATTGAACTCCACGCGGTTCCCCCTGGAAACAGTCGTGATAAATTCTTGGTGAATTTGTTTGACCTCATGCTCATCTTATCATCCTCCACTGGCAGGGCACCCCCATTATCATCCATAAAAAATACAATTATATTATTATAACACTTTATTGCACCAACATATAAAGGACATGAACGAATTGAAAACAAAAAAAAAAAAAACTAAGTACAAAAGGCGGTCTTATCGCTAATGCAATCTCTTACAGACAACCTTTGGAAAGAGAGTATTTACAAAAAAAAAAAAAATAGAGTAGGTGGCGCATTAGTGGAAACTACTGGAAACATAAAAATTGTATACACTTATGTAAACAAAATAAAATATAGTACATACACAAATTTACATATATATACATACATACGAATACACTATAATATAATATAATACAATCTATCTTCTAAGGCAAATTACCAGTTTCAGGTATTTTTGTTTTAGTTCTATTCGTATTTACAATATTACTAAATGTGTATAAAATGATTCCGTTGAAAAATAAATAATAAAATATTTTTGTTGAACTTGTAAAACATTCGGTCGACTTTGTATTTACCTCCGAATTATTTGTCATAACCAATCCAGTTTAGATTGATTTAGCAATCTCTGGCCGGATAGAAGGCCGGTTGACACTGATACAGTAATTAGTAAGCTCAACCTCAAGTATCCCATGCAAGGTTCAAAGAAGGTCGCATTGACGAATTTTGACGGCTTCTAATTTAGTATTCAGTGTGTAGAAAACCATTGCAGAATAAATGTGAGTTCGATAATGCGTTAACTGATTCCATAACCTCTGTACGGCTCATGTGACTTGTCAGATCACGGCCGGGGTAAAGGAAAAATTCTTCATTCCATAAAGGTATAGGCATGTCATTTTTTGCAAACTAATATAGCGTAACCATATATAGAAAAAATCGCACATGCCAAACACACGCGTTGCGTTTTGTTCTATGTCTAAGTTGCCAATATTTCTACTGTGTCTACTCAGCTGCGTAAAAAAGTAATGTAGTCTTTATTAGGTTCGTATATGGATGTATTTAATTATACTTAAACGGTTTTCTTAGGTGTTGATATAGCGACTTGACTGATTGTTCTGATGTGTGCTTGCACATACTGACAGCACTGATATATATTTTTTTTATTTAGTATTCTAAAGTGAGGTAAAATTAGGTCATACTATAGACGGCAACATCTTTACTTTTAGATAATATAGAGTTATAAAAAATTAGTATGACCTAATTTTTTATAACTCTATACAATAATATATATTTTCTAAAAAGCCTCCGATAAAATTAGAATTATTTTGAAAAATATTCATAATAATTAGGTAACCTAACCATATAGATACATACACGAAATTGTCGGCTCGAAGCAGTTATTAAACATGCAAAGATAATTATGACCTAGGACCACGGTAGGAAATGTGCAAACAATAGGTTATTATACAAAAAAATATATAATTCTCATAAAACTGGAATTTATTAGCAACTAAAAAACTTTGTGATCGTCATTAACAAACAGGTTTGCAAGGAACAAAAAATTTGGTTTACAAACAACAATGTTAATATATCATAATTAGGAATCTTGATATATATTATGTAGTATTTATTCTTATTTAGGAAAATTATTTTTACAGATATAACATACTTTAACATATATGTACACATATTTGAACGAGACTTAATTTGATATTTGTTGGATATTAACATATCTTTCGGACACAACGAACGGATTTTGATTAAAACATCACAGTAATATAGTTTATGCATCAGAATAACACGTAGGCAATTTTTTTATTGAAATAGCTAGTAAAAAATAATATTTTCAACGAAACTCTGACGGTTGTAAAAACAATAGTAATATTATAAAACAAGAGTATGAACAGAAACGGAGTTTTAGTCTGACGGGATGTTTGTGCGTGTTAACATTATTACCGATGTGGTAACATAACAACATTCTTCCTCATTTCCCTACAAAACACAATTATTGCATTTGTAACCGATAACAAATTGAAGAAAGTATAATATTTTTTTATTGAATGATATTGGTGTGATGCACCCACTTGCGTTAACGGTTTAAGTTTCCGGGGCACTAGTGAAAGATGATATGGTCAGAATGAAGTTAGACCAGTTAGCCCATCGTGATGGAATTAACGACAATGGTTTCCACGGGGAACTGTATGGAGGTCGACTTAACATGATGCATTGCTAGTAATAGGGTCACTAGTCCTCTTTACTTACAACAAGAACGTTTAATTATTGGAAACCAGGTATTTTTTGTGAATGATAATGAAATGGTGCACCCGCCTGCGCTAACGGTTTACGCTGGCGGGGCACCAGTGGAGGACGATAAGATGAATATGAGGTCAGGTCAGTTAGCCCATCGTGACAAATTCACTAGGAATTTATCACGATGGTTTCCAGGGGGAACCGCGTGGAGGTCGACCTAACATGGTTAATTGCTAGCAATGGGGATAACTAGTTCTCATTACTAACAATCCCCTTCCCCCTGGAAACTGGGTTGAGACGGCTCACTGAGATCTGTTCACTGAATATGTCGATTATTTTAATATATATATATATATATATATATATATAGTAGGGTTATAGGATTGTTAATAACAGGGACTAGTAGCCTCATTGCTAGCAATGCAACCAGTCAAGTCAAACGGCATTCCATTATCATCCAAATATATAGATAACTTAAAGTTTATTCAAAAGTATTTCTTATGGTGATAATACTTTTCTTTAATAAAGTAATTATTATAATTTGTCTATCGTATACCCTAAAGCATTGAATGAGCATATGGAATATAAAGTATTAAATACACTCAATACAAGATGAATTAAATCGTTTTCATACTAACATTTGTCAACAATATTCTTTTTTGTTGACAAATGTTAGTATGACTCCTTTTGTTTTACAAACTAATGTATCAAATATTAAACAACAATGTTTTCTTAGCTAACTTTAATCTCTGCAACATCTTATATGTATGTACACTATGTATAAAGGATGGTAGGAGCGAAATAAAGAGAAAAGATTCATAGTATTGTGCCATTGGGCCATTTAAAATGACGATTTTCAAACGGACAGTACGGAAAACCAATCTTATTATCAACATCATCCATTGGTGACCGTCAGTGTTGGACAGGATACAGATCGTTATTATAAAAAATACGTTTATTAACTAGTTCGGTAAAACATATAACAGCTCAATTGCCTTCATACAATTATTTTAACGATACGAAATTCCACTTACTAATTATACCACTAATGACTAGTGAAAATACCCAATATCTTTGCTTTTATATAACAATTATAGCTCTATAATTGATGACTTTGTAGAAGTGACTACTCACTTTCCGATGGTCGCGGATTGAAATCTCTGTTAAATTCTGGATCCATTTTAGAAATATATATACAAAATATTTATTCCAATATTTCAAATCACTTTGTATAGTCTTCATATTTTTACCTACTATTCAGAAAGCAATCTTAGTACCAGCAGAACGACAAGGAAACTTGCAAGATTGAAAGAATATGAGAATATAATGAACTCTTACTAATATCTTCTTAACAATAGTTAGAGAAGAATAGACATATTTTTGAAACTTTCACGTTATATTTAGTAGTAATAACTATAATTATTCTTTTTAAAATACAAATATAGTTTATCAATATTGAAATTAAATTAGACTGTCTAATACTAGTCTTAATTTTGTTTTCTATTATCTATTCCAGATGGCGAGGCAGTGTTTACAAGTTGGTGTGGCGAGAGTTACTAGCTTATCTCACTCTCTACTATACCATTAATTTACTCTATCGATTCGCGCTTACAGAAGAGCAACAGAGGTGAGTTCCTGTCATTAATAACTTTTTTATTAATAATTTTTTATGTTATAACTTTATCATTATATGTTATTGGTACTGGTTTTATTATATATTTATTATTGCTACTCGTATTAATGATAGTGTAGTAGGGCTGGTTAGATGCGACGGTCTTGTTACATGTGTCCTCACATATGTCCCTGGGCAATAACTGAAAATCAGTGGTTTGCTGCTCTAACAAACAATACAGTGAGGATGACACACTACGTTACTCACATGTTTTTTTGTGTATGTAGTGGTTTTAACTTTGTATTACTGTACCTTATGTGTGTGCTTTTAACACAAATAAGAGTTTTATCTATCTATCTATACTTTTTTATGTTAATTTTAATATAGAAATTAGATATAGATAACAGAATATTTTGTACATTCATTCTCCTATTTAGTAGGTAAGGAGAACATATTCTGCATCAGGATTAGATACTTAGCAGGATAACATACAGGATCTAAAATATATTAGCTACCAAATAAGTGAACTTTGTTATGTCAGCAAGGTCAACTGGAGTCATTATGCTCGTCATTGTAATAATCATCTACCGAACAGTGATACCTTCTAATAAAAATGTTTTCAATCTAATTTCAAAAAAGGTAAAACAGAAAATACTAGTTCGTTCGACTTAGATTTTATTACATTTTTTTATTTTTCGCAAGAAACTACATATTTTAAAGTTGACAACCATGATGTGTTGTTATTCCTGACCTTGTAATTTCACTGCCATATCCAACCATCAGAAACTGGTATTCAAAGCAAGTCGTTTAACGCCAGAAATAGTTGAGACAGACCTATTAACGCAGACGAAATTGTACATACATAGTTTGCGTCGTTACTAAAACAATTTTACATACTAGCTGTCCTGGCAAACGTTGTTTTGACATATAAATTAATAAAGCTATAAAAAAATAGGGGTTGGTGATAGAAGGATGAAAATTTAGGGATGTTTGTATTTTTTAAAGACACATAATAAAAAAATATAAATAAAAATTTAGCTCAAATAATAAAAAAATAATGTTAGGGGTGGACAACCCTTATCACTTAGGGGTATGAAAAATAGACGATTCTCAGACCTACTGAATATACATATAAAAATTCATAAAATAAAGTTTCAGAGGAGTATGGTAACTAACATTGTGTGTGACACGAGAATTTTATATATGTCGTAAGATTTATGTATTTTCTGGTTGTTCACCCAAGATTGCATAACAGTAATTTACATGGGTACCTCTGCCGTCAAGCGTGTTGTTTGCGTGCAATGAAATTACTGGGTATAGAGCCATGTAACACCTTAATAGTGCATGTCTATAGGCGACGGTTATCCACCATTCAATCATTAAGTGTAGGTTGTATTGCCATTTTAATTGCAAATTGTATAAAGATTAAAATAACAGATTACAATGGCAGTATTTGTATTTTAGATAAAATTACCCATGCAGTTAAATAAGTAGGCGCTATCTCAATCAAAAAATGTTCTATAACTATGATTATTTGAAAATAAACAAATAACAAGCAATCAGTTAAGGCAACTGCAAACCGAGACTGAGTTAAGGCAACTATAGAACTTGAAGTCTTAATATAACTTAATAATAGTTCTTACCGCTATTGGGTAAGCTGTTATTTTATTTACGATACAAAAACTTGACTGACGAACGCAATCAAATAAATTATGTGAATTATGATTACAAAAAACAATCGTACTCTGTGTTTACAATTTAAACTCCTCATATTTAATGCTAACGCGAGATTAATGCATGCTCAACATTATTAGAAAATTATATGCTACAGATTATTACAGTTTGCATTTAATAACTAATTTATTTTACAAGATACGTGTAGGTTTTGAAGATATATTTATGATAGCACAAACGTGTTTGCATTAAATAAGACCTTAGGATTTTTGAGAAGAGAAGAAACACTGTATCATAATTATGATATACCTGTGATTAATTAATCAGAGGTATATAGGCTTGAAATAAAACAACAAACAATCAGAATAACTGCAACCGTTACTATACCATGACACGTGTTGCTTTAAATACAAAACAACGCACTTGTTTCAACTTAGCGGAAATAAACAAGATAATTCTAATTAAATAGTGAATGAAGTACACTTCCGCAAAGAAGCATATCATGCAATTTCTAGCATTTAACATATTCATATGTAATTACTAATTATATTACGCTATTAGAATTGATTACAGCCCTTACTTATATAGGATGCAACCAAATTATTTGTATTCCATTCTATAATGCATGGTAATAGGTATATACAAGTTTCTATTGTTGTTATTATGTCTATTTAAAAATATAATTAATAAATGTATTTATTCGGTTTGAGTTATTTGGTCTGTAGTTTCAGTCAAGGTATGCATTGGTAGTTACTATAATTAAATACCCTAACAAACTTTCTTCACAGTATACGTGCACACATATAAATAATGCTCTATAACAGGGGTTAATCTGTAAGTACCTCAGATACCTGTATTTAAAATTAATTTCAAATTTGAATATAGTATACTAGCCCTAAGTAGGGTATATTAATAAATAAATAATATTTTTATTAAGTAGTATTGCTATGACATACTGCTTTTATAATACAGTAATACTATTGTATATGAAGAAATTACAGTATAAAAGAGTGCAAACTAAGTATTCCAAATATATATATATATATATATACATATTTATGAATAAAAAAAATATATAAATCTTCTGTAAACATTGAACAACCAGTAATTAAGTCAACATTATATACCTGAACTTCTTGCTAGGGTTAATAATTATAACTTCATAGGGTACGTCTTGTTGGTCGCTCTGATAAATAAAATCCACAAAGCGTATTTACGCAGCATAAAAAATATATAGCAATAAACATGTAAATAATGCGAAAGTTGGAAATAAATAACCGGAGGCGCCTACGAGTAGGTGTGTTAATTGTTTATTTAAGATACATCGATAATTCGACAGTAGTACACGATTAATATTAATACGAGCAATATAAAAACCTGTTATGTATGATGTACCTGCAAACTTGTTATTGATATGTATATTATCAAATAGATCGTGCGACATATATTTATGAGACGAGTTATAGAAGTAGATGAACGCAGAGAGAGGTATTTAGTTTTCTCTGGCATTTTTATAATATTTGGAATGGCGAACAATTGTGTTGTGGTTTTGTGTATAACATTGCTTGTAGCGATAAGAGCACGTTTAGTATTGCATGTGCTAATATACGTGCTATGTTTTTAATTAATTATATAAGTTTATATATATTTACTTATTATTAATTTCACGCTGATATTTTATGGACATAAATAGCCCTTGCCAACTGGCTACTAAACCCATAAAAGAGTTAATTTACAAAAAACATTTTAAGTCTTTTAATTAACGATTGTTTTGAATGAACGATTATTTCAAAAGTAAAAATACTTTAGAGCCTACTACGCTTCGAATCGGTATTGAGTATCGTGAAATGCGATTTGCCAAAATCCATCGACATTGTAGAAAAGAATGTCAGTGTCGTTGTATTAATGACCTTAAATTATCAACAGCTGCACTTACTGCTGAGTAACATCAGATTTGCTTTATATTTATTTAGTTAAATATTTTACAAATATAAATTATACTTATGTATAAATTACTTTAATAATTATACAAATATAGATTAGCAGACATTGTGAGAAGATATCTGCAGGGACAGATCTGTCTCTGCTTACTACTAGGCGATGGTTACTACTGACAATAGGATATTTTACTTATTAGCTATTGACCGTCTACTTGCTTGCCATCCGAATTTCATAATTATAAAATTTTGAGTACAATAAACCTATAATAAAAATAACTTTAGAATTTGTAGTTAAGAACCATTCCGATAAAGTTAATTTTCAAATAAAAAAAGTATCGATATATTCAATTTATAAAAATTGTATTTACAATTGATTTGACGCTCTTAAATTTAAAACAATATAGGCATATATGAATATAAAAAAAACTCTCAGAAACAGTTTAGGTAAACGTAATATAAAATGTTATAAAGTTCTGCTTGAATAATTTGTTTAATAAAGTACCTTTGTACTTTTTATTTTATTTTTTTTTAAATAATAATTTATACTGTTACAAAATGAACACAGAAAAATCTATATTATGTGTTCATTTTGTAATCCAAGTGAAAAGAAATCTTCAATATCCGTCCAGTGAGTGTATAATACATAAATATATTTAGTAAGCCAATCATTCAAGAATTATATTATGACAAAGATGTGGATATATATATTTTGTTTGATAACATAATTGTAGTATAATACAATAATAGTGAACCAAATTTTCTGTTTTATATTGCGCGTTTGACATTCATTTCTTCATTAACAGTTCTATATTTGAAATAGTGAATAAGTCGTCATAAAACGCATACATAATATAAATAATAACAGAAGGACATAAGGAAAATCATTGCTTATCTATAGCATAATGAATGGCACTAATATATTTCTAGGATTATTAGATATACAAAGAACATGTCGCTACTCTTGTCAAACTAATCTGACCTTGTATGTATTGCATACTCCATTTTCCCTGCGAAAACTATGAAAGACTAATACTGGAACAATTTACCACCCCCGATTCAAAATACTATTCAGTCAGTTTCGTCTTTTAAACATAATTTAAAAAAATATTTACTCCAAGTACAAAAATCTGAAACGTAGCATATAAATACAGTAGTCATATATACATATATATTGAATAAATAAATAAATATGTCACTTATATTCAAACTATATTATATTACACAAAAATCATTCAATCAACACTTTTACGAAGTTTTATCCCTATATATTTTTCTTCTATTTAACACACATATTTGTAATTCATCCATTTAACTAATTCTTTATTTTAGATATTTAAATTCGTCAAGAATGCTATTTCCTTTTTTCAAGTGGCTCCACTGAAAATCAGCGCTGTAGTGATA